GTTGAAGGGCTGAAGAGGCGTGTGGGCCGATCCCTGACGATGGAGTTCCTGTGGGGCTGCTGCTACAGTTGAAGCAGAACGCTACATGCTTGTTTTGCTGCTCTTGTCAGAATCGTACAAATCTGGACGCCTGGGACCCTGTGTCAGACAGGCGCTTGAGTGCGTAAAAGAAACGACGGTGGTCCCCCTCCACACGGTCGCGGCCAATAGAGCAAGTAATGCGATAGGTGCGAGTGAAGTGCTAGAAAACGAGATACAACAGTAAGCGCTCAAGGATTTAAAAACTCTACGTTCGGACACCGATCACAAGTGACCTGCTCAGATCCAAGCAAATGTGCGTCTTTGGTCAGTGGCCCTAATCTTGAGTATTGCTTGAGATGTCGCTTCGCGCGTGGACCGAGAAGCTGTACATGAAGCAAGTGCGCCGAAGAAGACGAGAGCCAGAAAAAGAAGTTCTGGAGAATCATTACAGTAGGCTAGAAAGCACAGCGGCGAGCAAAGCCGAGCGAACATACAAGACATTGGCCGAGGGCGAGGAAAGCCGGTCGAGCGAAATCTCAATGGTATTCGATGGTTAAAGTTGTTACCTCGCTGGGACAAAGGGTAATTAGCCGAGTCAACGATGGTCACATCGACCTTGAGTAGCATGTTTTCTACCTATTCTTTGTCCTTCTCGTTCTCCTCCACACCCTCCTCGCTGACTTCTCCCTCTTGCCCTTCCACGTCCTCCTACGCTCCCCATACCATCTTGAGTAGCAGGTCCGGTGATTCAATGCCACTTGCTAAGGTTTTGCAGAACTATTCACGTACGTCCTCAAACCCGAGGCGCTTATCTTACAATGCCCGCTTAGCGATTTCGTGGTGATGATGATGATCATCTTCTGGATCCACTAAGACTGAAGGCCAAGTAAGAATCGCTAAGGTCCGGTCTGAATAGTCTACCACTTCCGTGCCCACTCACGGCCTGTAAACAACATACCCCGAAAGGTCCAGCACAGGATCAATGCCCCACTTCGGCCCCATATCCGCCACCTGTTTCGCATACCTCAACCCCTTCTTCTCATACAACTCCCTATACATCCGCGCGCACAACGTCAATTCCTCAATCTGGCTCCTCCTCAACGACAGCAACGCCGCCCTCAGCGCAAACAGGCTCTGCTGCGCGCCCAAAAGGCCCATGCTGTCGTGCAAGCAGTACGGCATGGAGCGCATGATGTTTGTCGCGTTCTCCAACCGGCCGATCTCGCCATGCTGGACGAGCATTTGTCGTGCCGTCGTTTGCAGAGGGAAAGTGGGGGTCGAGAGGGCGGTGGAGCAGATGGTGGCGATGGTGCTGCTGATGGCTAGTTTGAGGGCCCAGTGCATGATCACGACGTTGGCGGTTTTGAGGTCCGGGAAGGAGAACGGCCGGTTGTGGTTGCATATTGACGCCCGGTACCCGTCGGCTGGGCCTAGCTCGATCGAGTCGTTGAGAGGTGTGAGCCAGTACACGGGGCTGTCTGAACCGCGGACGAGCTCCTTAAACCAGAGGTTGATTTTCGCGTCCATGGCCGAGCAGCGTCGTAGGTATTTTTGAATCGTCTCGGTACTGGCATCTTCGTTCGCGAGGTCTGCATTGTCTATCTCTTCTAGGAGAGCGGCCAGTGCGAAGCCGTGGTCGTATAGCTTTTGGAAGATGTCTTTTTGACTTTGCTCTTTCCGCTTCTGATACCAGGGACGCGTGCACCATTCGTGAGACCCTAGTGGAGACGCTTTGCGATGGAGGAGGGACTGGAACATCTAGAATGAGCTATCAGTCTTGCTGCCGTTCTGAATCATGACTGGCAAATGCGGCTTACCGTCTTGAGACGCGTCTCTTCGAACATAGCGCGCGCGAGCGGCGAACTGTATCTGTATTGGTCTGACCCTCGCAAAGCAACAAGATATGTTAGAACTTCTACGCACATTTCAGGCTCAGCATTGCTTCTTCAAGATAGATAATTGAGTTTCAAGACAGGTCTCCGGGGTAGAAATGGCCAATGTCCTCCCGAAACATGTCTTACGACTACGAAAAAGGAATGATCATCTCCGAAACGTACATACCTACATGGCTGTTATACCCGATGATTGAGGCCGGTGTCGACTCGGAAAGCTGTACAATACTGATGAGAACGGTGGATGACGGTGATAGGAAACTTTCTTACCTCATAGAGCGCTAGAACATTGCACGTAGCTAGTGTCTCATCTTGCCACATTGATTGTTTGTCATAGAGAGCTCTCTGAAGCTCTCTCAAGGCATTACCGTATACGACCATGCCTCCACGGATGAATGCATCGTCTCTGTGAAGCCAACCTAATCTCGTCAGGGCCAAAGCCTTGAGGGATAACCGCAAGGCAAGTGGGGGATTCGGGAGGCATATCGATTGATGAAGCCAGGCGCATGGGTAGCCAGCCTGGGCGCTACTCCTTGATGGGATGTAACGTTCCCAGAACGCAGAGATCAGTTGGGCTTCGGAGACGTTGGCGGTGCTGGGAGGTAGAGGCATGCTGTTCATGGTGATATTCTGTCTTCGGACAAGATCTCGCTGCAGTACACTTTTCGATGGAGCCATTGCGACTATGGGTCCCGACGATCGTAGTGTGGGTTGGCAACGTGGCTCTTCTCCTTTTGTTCCATTTGCTTCTTCGGATCCTTTTACTTCTTCAAGCCTACCTCGTTTCACGAGACCCTGTTTCGTCCGATTAAGAAATACCGGGTAGCGAGAATAACCCTCACAAGTCTTCCCACTGTTGAGACATCTGTTGCACGCGGGTTCCTGGAGATCGCACTGCGTTTGATGTTGGTATAAGGTTTAGAGGCATGATGGATGTTTATTTCTCCACCTTCTTTTTGCGCCTCCTGCAGGTGGTGCAGCCTTTGGACTTTCCCGGAACCTGCGGTGTTTCAAATCAGCATTTCCTCTCTGGGAGTGGAGATCGATTTGCTAGATAATTCTTTAGAAGCGAAATAGTGGGGAAAGCTCCGAGCGTTTGCATCCACAGATTGTGTCACGGTTGAAGTGCGGTCCTAGTTGGGAAAGAACAGGGACGCGAAGGCTACGTACTCCGACCATGGTATTGAACTTAGCTCTCTAGGTACTTCTCGATGAGTCAAAAGGACGCATTCCTCAGTGATGACAATGGTCTGGTCGCGATTCTTGCAATGGCGGGGAGTACAAAAACATTTCTTGCATGGCAATTCAATTTAGTGAACATGGCCCACCTTGGCTTCTAATATGCCCGCGCGAGATGAAAGCTGAGCACGGTAACATCAGGCCAACGCCTCAGGCAAATACTCTACCTCTGGTGCCTGGTTGAAGAAATGCTCAATTATCTCGGAATGAACGCGGGAGCGGTCAAGATCCATACACTAGACCTGATTGGGGGGCCAAGTTGCGCCAGCCTGAGGCAATTGCAAGCGAGCTGAAGTTATCCAAATTCAGGTGCAGCTGAAATGGAAAGATTAACACTGAATAAGATCCACTCCGTTAGATATAGTGAGTTTGCTCGCATGACGGACTTAATTAGTTCCTGAATCTGTGATCGAAACGCCACGAGTGGTGAGACATCTTGTTCAACCGAAACCATGATACCTTTGATAGCACACTCTTGAGTAGCTTGTGGATGTAGTGTACGGAGAACTTGTCTCCTGGATTTATCATTACGGACTTCAATAGCCCTCCCATCTGCTTTCAACCGTGTCCATTAGGTCGACAATCTTGCCGTATCCCATCCTCTGGCAGGGTTTGAAAATTCTGGGGATCCGACCGAACATCAAAAGGTCCCTTCTTTCAACCCATCGCAACTCAACAACGAGAACGTCCATAAGGAAGTATCTAGCTCCGAAACCCTTCTCCTAACGGACACAGATTTCGCAGCCGAAAGCTTCATTGCAAAGGCTGTCATTCCGAAGTTGTTGTGTTGCGAAAAGAGCCATGGTTGATGTGTGTTCTGCCAAGATACTTTGAGCCCTAGGCGTCCAGTAAGTCCCACCCGTCTCGACCATTATACATTCAAGTCCCCCAGTCGTAAAAGCAACATTCTCCAAAGCTACTGTCGTGGCATTCTGCGTCTTTGCAAGCGGGAGACTTCAGTCCCATTCTTCTACGACTTGAACCATGTCTCAATGTCAGGGAAGCCTACATTAAAATGAAATTTGATGGTCATTCATTCAAGATTCCAGTAATTAAGCGGCGTTAACTCAAACTTATAAAGGCTCTTCAAGTAGAGTACTATTCGGAGAATCAACGGAGTTCTTTGTACTGTATTCAAAGTCACCAGCGTCATAAGATTCATGGCCTGCTTCGCTGAGCCTTATGACCTCGTCGATGCGGACTTGGACAATGAGAGGCTCGAACTCGAGGTGGAAGCTCCTGCGGAGTGCTCGTCCACGAATTATGGAAGGTCTTCTTCTTCTTCTCCCTCATGATCGGAAGGTCATTGACCAGCGACTTGGGTTCCTGGCTGTCACCCTCGTACCATGATTCGTCGAGTACTCATCCCAGGCCAATGCTTCCGCCACCGCTGGAATCAAAATCCAGCATTTTGTGCCAAAATTTCCTGGAGGCTGGTCTCCTCTCGATGAAAGCTAGAGTTCTTACGCCATGGGTGGGAATATCAAAGGCTGGTGTTGACGCCAGGTCCCTTTTATAGAGGACGGTACCATGGGTTCTTCGCAATATGGGCAGGGGTGGGCCACTACACCGTTGGCAACAATCAGACCAAGATTGTAGAGGAGTTAGCCGGATTCTTTTATGAGTGAGCCCCACGTGGATGCGCGACTTTGTAAGGCTGAAAATTGATGACTAATGGTACCTTGCATCATTAGCCTTGAGCGCGCGCTGGAGAAACAACGCGCTTCAATTATCTTTCTCGTGTCTCTTTGTTCCTTCACTTGATCAACCATCCACAATTTCGGGCAATACTTTTGTTTGCCATAGCTGCACACCGATAACATACTCTACTGCAACATATTTTACACAATGGCAACCCAGATCACGCCATCAAAGCAGGTATGACTGCATCGCCACCGCACAAATCTCCAACTTGCTGTCCATCCAATGCTAATAGAACACGACACAGGCATCTTCTGGACTGGAGAACCTCAAGATGGGTGACTCGCCTGCAAAGAAGCTCAAGTTCGAACCCGTCGACAAGGAAAATGTTCCAGTCAACATCCCCGCTCCTGTGATGGACGACCTTGAGCTCAAGAAGCCCCTCGTCGAAGTCTATGATGCCAAGAAGGAAGTGACGCCAACTGTTGCACCTACGATCAAACCAGAGGAGGCAGACGAGCCTCTGCTACAAGAAAACCCTCATCGCTTTGTGCTCTTTCCTATTAAATATCATGAGGTGCGTGTTTACCACACGCGACACTCGTAAAGTGCCCTCAGTTGTCTTTAGCTTACATCTATTATCAATATAGATATGGCAAATGTACAAGAAAGCCGAAGCCTCCTTTTGGACCGCCGAAGAAATTGACCTCTCCAAAGACCTCCACGACTGGAACAACCGACTGAACGACGATGAGCGCTACTTCATCTCCCACGTCCTCGCCTTCTTCGCTGCTTCAGACGGAATCGTCAACGAGAACCTCGTCGAGCGTTTCAGCGGTGAAGTTCAAATACCAGAAGCACGTTGCTTCTACGGTTTTCAGATCATGATGGAGAACATCCACTCCGAGACATACTCCCTGCTCATCGACACATACATCAAGGAGCAGAAGCAGCGCACATATCTGTTCGATGCCATAGACACCAGTAAGCCCACCATCTTCCAAGCCTCGATACACGTATCCGAATCACTAACGCGTTCCACAGTCCCCTGCATCCGCAAAAAAGCCGACTGGGCCCTAAAGTGGATATCCGACAAAAACTCCACCTTCGCCCAACGACTCATCGCCTTCGCCGCCGTCGAAGGCATCTTCTTCAGCGGCTCCTTCGCCTCCATCTTCTGGCTCAAGAAACGCGGTCTGATGCCCGGTCTCACCTTCTCAAACGAACTCATCTCCCGCGACGAGGGCATGCACACCGATTTCGCCTGCTTGCTCTTCTCACACTTGAACAACCGCCCAAGCAAGCAGGCCGTGCAAGACGTGATTACCGAGGCCGTGGCCATCGAGCAGGAGTTCTTGACCGAGGCACTGCCGTGCGCGCTGTTGGGCATGAACGCCAACCTCATGAAACAATACATCGAATTCGTCGCCGATCGTCTCCTCCTCGCCCTCGGCAACCAGAAATACTACAAAGCGACCAACCCATTCGACTTCATGGAATCCATCTCGCTCGCCGGCAAGACCAACTTCTTCGAAAAACGCGTCGGCGACTACCAGAAAGCCGGCGTGATGGCCAGCGCGAACAAGAAGGAGGTCGTCGAGGGACAAGAGGAGAAGAAGAATGAGAATGGTGGGGACTTCAACTTTGATGAAGAGTTCTGAACGGGGCCATTCTAAACGCCCCACGTCCTTTGCTTCCGATTGTACATTATCCTTCACTCACCACCTGCTCTGATTGGGTTTATTTTGTTCCATACGTGCACGACATTTGCTGGCGTTGGGCGCGGGATGAGGCGATGCATTGTTGGAAAGAGGGGAATAGCATACACAGGATAGTCAGTGAATCAAAAGGCGCTGCACACTCCGTTTTCTTGGTTGCAAACGTGAAATCATCAGCACTATCCCACCTGACGGCTTAAGTCTTGATTCAAGTCTCACAATTCACCAACGTGTAGACGTATTATGCTCTTCACTCATTGGTGATATATCAGCAATGATTTATATCCTCAAAATATACTCATGAAGTAGAACGCTATCTGCGGAAAGACTTCAACGATTCTTAGCCACCTTGCTCTTCAATCCTTGCAAATCTGATCCTACAAGACATGCCGCAACGTGTCGTCGCCATATCTATATCCTATTGACACCGGAAAAGATACGTACAATCATCCGCTCATACGTTGCTTGCCGCCGGAAATCGAACTTGCTATGTTTGTAAAGTACATCCCTTGAGAAGAGAACAAAAGTGGGTATATGGAGATTTTATTACTGCGATTGGTGTGTAGAATATGCGTGCCTGAGAGCTGTACGGTTATCGTTGTTAGAAGGGCTGTGAGGTATATCGATGGCCGGTACATACCTTTCAAGACTCCCGCTTGGCCCTGAAGATGCTCACAGGCGCATTGCAATGTACTGCCATCCTTGAAGTCGAGGACAACACTGTTGGGTAACTCCTGTCGGTCTTGATCTGGTATATATGGAGCACGGAAATCGGAAAGGGGATATCGTTTGGTGATGATCTTTGAATTCTGCCGTGAGTATCAGTAAAAGTATCCAAGGAGTGTATTTAGGGGGTGCCGCTAACGTTATCTGATTTGGATGCTGAAAGGACGAGAACGCCGTGCGCATCGATGAGCATGTGTCGTCTCTTCCAAAGCTAGAGAACAAGTCAGTCAAGGTGAGCAAAAGATCCAAAGCAGAGCTTACCAAGTTGTCAGGGAATTGGACGTTCACATCTCCAACATCCACAGAAGTGGAAGGTGCCTCTTGGACGGGCTCTTGACGCTCAATTATAGGGGCTTCCTTCGGACCAGGACTAAGTGCATGGGCAATACTTCTCCGAGACATGGATGAGATGCTCGACATGCGCTTCAACAACCGACTCCGCCTCGAGTCTTTCTTCTCATCTTGAGTACCATCCAGACTGGCCACGCCGCTTAGAGAAGAATCGCTGATTGTGCGTGGCAGCTCGACTTCGCTCCCTGCACGACTCGACTTAGAGCGAATACTGGCAAAAGAGTCTCGTCGTGTGGTCTGCGGAGGCTCGAGCTTTTGCTCATTGCTTGAAGAGGATCCTGAGCGCGTGGAAGAGTATCGGCCAAACCTAGGCCTCGGCGGCTTTAAAGGCGAAAGCGGTGGAGGTCCCATGCTTTTGTGCTCTGCAGGTGGTGGACTCTTTTGGCGCTCCCGTTGGAGAGGCCTTTCTTCAACGTCCAGGTGACGTGGCTCAGACGGGTTAGATGGATTTTCAGGCGACTTGTCCCTTACTTCACGAACGATTGGGGCGGTCACTGATTTGATCGAACGCGAGTAATCAGCTTTGTTCGCGTGATTGTATAGACTCGAGTTGAAGGGTTCTGGAGATGGTGAAGGCGAAGGATATGCTGTACTAGGACGACTTTTATTGATGTTGCTGTTCTTATAGTCCGAATCACCCGAGGGAGTCCGGAGTGAAGTCTTGCGCAAACCAAGGAAAGTAGATGTATTAGGAGCTAGGTTTGGCGATATAGGGCTTGTTGGGCGACTTGAAAGTTGCTCAAGTGCTTTAATCCGTTGCGAGATACTTGATGACACGCCAATCTTCTTGGAGATTGGTACCTGTGACTGCTGCAAATCAGGACGTGGCGCATGCTGCGCCGAAAATGATCTAGACGTCGATCGAGGTGTCGGCAGTCGCAGTGAAGAGAAAACTTCTTCGTCCTTGGCGGAGTTATCAACAGGTGTCGATACGCTTCGAGAACCCCGAGCAGATCCGTTCAATCTTTGCTCACTTTCAGATCTTGAAAACACAGGCTTGATAGGAGATTTCGAAACAGAGACAGGCTTGGCTTCTTGCAGCGTAGCGCTTTTGAGCTCTTCCATGAAGGAATCATCTGAGAGGAAAGGGTCGTCCGATTGATCTGGGCTGGACACTCGTTTGATGGGATTGATCACCCCTTGGCTCCGGAATTGCCTCTCTGTCTGCCTTTCGCCCACACCATTTGAGGTTGAAGGCTGTTTACTCGAGTGGTTGCTATCCTGGGACGGTATTCTAGACTGTTGTCTTGTGGCTTTTGATTCGCCATCAATATCAAGAGGATGCGTATTAGCTTGCTCTAGGAATAGAGCTCGTTGGGGGCTGAGACTGATTTCTTCATCCTCATCAATGGGCGGTAGTGGGACTTCGTGGGCATCGACACTATCGGAGGGAACAGTAATGGATTTGGAGGAGGAAGACCGTCTTACGAGCAAGGGTTTGACAATGTCGTTCTGGGCTTCTCGAAGCACGAGTTCGTCGGAGCTCCGGGCTGGGTGCTCAAGTGACTGGCTATGGCCTTTTTCGGATTGACTTTGCAAGACTGGCGTGTGATCATCCGTATTCGGAGCAGAGCAAACCCTCTGGTCGTGTTCTAGAGGTTGGCTTTGTAGAATGTCTTCATGCTCAGATACTTCTCCTGTGTAGGCTGCCTTGTCATGGACTGCTAGCGGTTCGCCTTGCTGGAAGCCCTTGTTCTCATCGATTTCTGCCGTAGACCTAATTCTTCGATCGACTGAAGGAGGCCCATCACCAGCCCTGGACTGATCTTTTGGTTCCTGGACTTCCAAAGATGGGCTCGGCGAGAGCTGCTTGTCCCCATTGGTTTCTCTAGCTGTCACAATCTTCTCCTCATTCAGAGATTGTTTACTCGTGACGGTTGGCTGATCAAAATGTCCGGACTTTGGAACTTCCTTGCCCATCGCTTTCTGCTCCGCCATATCCTTGTCTGCTATGAAAAGATCGGATCGCGTAGGCGCAGAAGGCTGGCTTCGATCTTTGAGGCTCTCGATCGAAGCAGCTTTCCTCAGTGCGTTTTTCTTGATGTCTTCTGGCATTACCCCCTGGCTGCCAATCAATTGGGGATGAGTGTTCTCAGCCAAGTTTTCGGAGAGCAGGTCTTGGTGTTCTGATATTGTAGGTATCGAGGCTGCAAGATTTTCTTGTCGTTTTTGCGCTAAGGCTTCTTCCTCATCTGTAATCGATGAAGCCTGTGTTGACGGTTCTTCGGCCGTCCCCGGCATTGATACTGGCGAGTCCTCAAGATGACGAGAGTCCTCCCTGGCAATGTCTTTGGTAGTAATTTGGACGGGCTCGGGCCCCTCTGTTGAGTTAGATGCATCGATTACTGCACGAATGATACTATCGTCAATCTCCGGTTTGGTGAACTCCGGCTCCTCAGACACACTCTTACTGCCGAAGCTATTAACGGTATATCGCGTTGCTATTTGCTTCTGCCGCAGCTGTAGAGCCTTCATCAGTCTTTGCTTTTCAGGTGTCATCTTTGGTGATGCCGGCTCAGGCATCTTCAGTGCCCTCAATCCATCGTTCGGCGTATAAAGATTCCGCTCAGGTACACGGATGGAGGCTACCGGCGCGGTAGGAGCTTTTTTTGGTGTCATCATGGCTGGGGAAGTTGCCTGAGCTGGAGGACTGGATGTAACCGGAGAGTTGGTCTGGGTTGGAGCGCTCGCCTGAGCTTGCCGAGAACCTGGTCTGGCCGGGACGGCTTTGCGTGATGGCATGCGAAGGCCTGCAGGTAGTGATGACACCGGTCGAAAATCATTGGATGGAGAATCTAAATTGTTTGGCGCTCCAGCAGAGTCAGTCGAAGGTCGTGGTCCCATTTTTGCCTTTTTTTTGTATCCGTACGCGTCGTATAGATCTCTTGTGCTTGGGCGAGTCGAATTTGAAGAAAATCGTCCATCCATGCTAGGCCTTTTGTTGCAATCACCGGAGTCGAGGATAGGGCTGGGGCCTGTGTCCTCGCGAGTGTGTTCTCCAGGTGGTGGTGGGAGCGGCTTGTCTGTATTACTAGTAGTACGTGGGCGGAACGAACTCTGTGTTGTAGCCGACGTGGATCTGTGGTGAATACGATCCGCGCCAGTGAATCCATTCACTTTCTCAGGCAGTGTTTGGGTATATTCTGCACCTGGAGATCGCTCTTCGGCTCTTGCGGTATCACCATGTACCACTCCACCCTCGACAGCATTAACCCGACAATCTGATGCATCCTCCGTTATTTCTGCCAGGCCGCTTTGAGGGAGTGAATCATTCGAAGATTTGATTGACTCGGTAGCAGTATGCAGTGAACACGCCGAGGAGAGGGTGGAGTCTCTCAGATCCGCTGAATGGGCAAAGGAAAATATTGTATCATGAGGGGAGAGCTTCTCGATGACCGACTGGAATTGAACAGTTACACGAGCTGTCTTCTTCTTAGCCTGGTGAAGAAATTGTGACCACTGAAAATGAAGGGGTTTACCTTGCAGCAGTCGTGATGTCCCGTCCGGTATGTACTTGAGTATCACCTTCCTCCTTCGATATTGTATGAAGCCATACAGGGGCGACTGCTCCACATAGCGAGTGACCACATCTTCCAATTCCGCGAGACCGCCGTTTCCCTTTTCTAACAAGCCCACCTCATCTCGACTAAGATACTTGAGCAGGAACCTACAGAAGGAGTCGTTAGCTCTGGAAATAAATCTCTCTTCTTTCCTTGGGGGCGTTTCAGGAAAACAAACCATCCTCCACCTTCACCGAGGGCAGCCTGGTGGGCATCATTGACGTCGGTGGCTTCCAAGCCATTAAGTGACATTATCCCTCTTCATGGACTCTACTGTGCTACTTGCTGCCCTGCCTTGTGGAAGTCGCTCAGCACAAGTTGCGTCGGTCGGTCGCTAATGATACTCTTGGCTACTGGACGATCGATGTTTCAGGGGTCGGCACTAAGATCGCCTTGTGGCAAAACGGGGATAACGCTGCGGGGCACCGTTCCTCCCAAGGTAGGTTTACTTTACCTAGGTTCGCGGGTCTCGACTCTCGATATTATTCATGTCATTCTGAGGCTGAAGAAAGTATACCGGTATTTCGTTACCCTCTCAACTGATTCTTCTATCCACAGACTCCGCAGACTCTATAGAGGTATACAGGCCCTTCTTTCTGTCCTCCCACAGCAAAAAGAGCCGAGGGAGATAAGGAGCTCGCAACTCGTACCGAGTACCTGCATACCCGCCATCAATGCGGCTCCTAGCACCAACCGCTATCTATTGCTACAATCAATCCTACGAAGCACCACTGTCTTGCGGAGAACGGGAACAATACTATCATACCGTTTTCAACGAGAAAGCCGAGGAATACCATCAGTAATGGCTGCATACAGACTTCCACCCATCACAACGCTCCCTTCCCTCCCAACGGCCGAACTCGCGACGATCCTCGACCACCTTTTCGAGCCGAGCGTGCCGCTTCACACCCTCTCTGTTGACTTACTACGGGATCAACCCTTCTCTTCCTATGACGACTTGGTTGCGAGCATTGGAGTGCAGCTCACACATCTGGCCGAGTCATCCTCTACAAGCGACTCTAAATGGTTGGAAAGCATACTGGGAGCCCATCCGAGGTTGGGTGAGAAAAAAATAGACAGCACACAGAGCAAGGCGGAACAGGCACAGTTGGCACTGGACGCTGAGACTGGTCAAGATAAGCTGTCGGAGTTGAATTCCCTATATGAGCGGACGTTTCCAGGGCTGAGATATGTGTAAGTTCGATGAACGACACCGAGACCTGTATCTCATTCCGTCACAGCGTTTTTGTCAATGGAAGAGATCGTTCAACAATACTGGAGGACATGCAGGCTCGCATTGATCGAGAGAACATCGACCTCGAGCGAACTGATGCGATCAAGGTTCGAGCTACCTTGCCAAGACTGTCAATTGTTGCTGAGTATTCTAGGCAATGTGTGAGATCGCCGCGGACCGAGCCCGCAAGCTGGCTTCTTGAAAGAGTAAAAAAAAGGCTATATGTTCTAGGGCGCCAGATCAACGGTCCAACGCGCATGAATGCAGAGCACGAGCATGCCAGAAGCCAGATTGATTCCACGTTTCGAGCAACATAGGTATATGTTTCCACCCTGACGCCATTATTCCAGTGCATTTAAACCCCAGCTGCAACGAGCCCTGAATAGGAAGAAGATGGGATCCGGGCTGTCACGGGTGCCACCGACACTTCGTCCTGCCTTTCGTTCTCCATGACGAGATGGATTGCCTTTTCGCCATGATCTATCCCAAGGTGATAGCTGGTGTCTAGCGTATCAAACGAGTAAGAAGCATCGCCAAATTCCTCGTCCGAATCAGAGGAACCTAGCATGCGGAAGTCGCTGTACACAGGCTGGTTATCACCAACATTGTCCTCTTCATCTTCTTCATCCTCGATGGGTTCGTTCTCCTCATAGTCGAAAGCATCGTAGTCGGACGATGTAAAGACTGAAAATGGTTTCAAAGATGCTTGTGATGGCGGATTGTGCGAAGAATCTGATTGCGATCTAATGTTATTAGCCCGTGGCGAGATCATGTAGCAAGTATTGCCGTACATGGGTGCCCTATTCGCTTCATGAAATCCTATCTTCTTTGTGCTTTCTAGTGTCGCTTTTTTCCTCTTCTTGGCAATCGAGTTCAGTATTGCCCCTTTCCGAAGGAGTAGACCGCCCGATAACCTCTGCCTAGCCCAGACACCAAGGCGCCAAGCCCCTCGAGCGATGTGTGTTGCTGGCGTCGCGTATGGTCTGCTCAGCCTGGAAGTCACGAGTTCGTGCCTCAATCTCCTTTTCTTCCTGGACATACTTTCTCCAAAACGGTCTGTTTCTTCCTGTGGTCGGGATCTCTTCAATAACTTCCGCGTCACCAGCTCTGTTGGTTGAAGTGAAGAAATGGAAATGTTTCGGAGAGGAGGTTGCCAGGAACTGGCTGGATGTAAGGCGTGCAAAGGTGGTCCTATGGGAACAGCCTTGCTGACCTGATGATGACCGGCCCCAGCGCTTTGCGGTTCAAAAAGCATTGCAAAGCCAAATGGTGGTCAACGTCATGGAGTCATGGTCTTGCAATGAGGATCATGAAGGTAGCTGGAAGAAAGGGGACGGAGAATAATGCGGGCAGGTACACACTAATGTACATGGTCAAGCAAACTTCAACGCTCACTAGGCGAATGGCCTAAGATGGAGAATTAATGGCGAGGATCAAACCCTGGCTCATGAATATGCGGAGAACCCTGGCAGAGAGGCTGACGCCCAGCAAATAGGGTCGCTACCGATGGAACATTAAATAGGGCCCGCCGTGAGGCTTGTAGATTTTCTCCTAGGTTGCACTCAGACTTCAAGGCTAAAGATGCACTTCCAAATACGAAGTACGAGCGTGCATATACTATGGCGCATTGAACGAATTGCAGCCCAACCAGTGTTCGGATCAGACAAATGAATGCCTGCTTCAATAAGCAAAGGAGATAGAGTAATCTCCTCTCGGACCACAATTCCTTTGGTTCGGCATGTCAAAAGTGCAGATCCCTCGGCAAATCACATGTATTTCCGCAAGACATTGATCTGACAGGATCTACACAATCCTGCTGCGGAGGCGCTGCTTAAAACACGGGGTACATATTTCTGGTTGTTAGTATTCTGTACAAGATAGTCTAGCGACATGCAAGTTCTGAAAAGACATCAAGGACATCTAAGACATCAGTCAAAGCGAAGCGAAGCGAACGGAGATATTCTATACGTTACACGTAACACAAACGCACGGCCCTTTACTTGTATAGTCCTCAGTCCTAAACGTCGATCATAGTTTGGAGGCGCAAACCATTCCTCCGCCTAGAATGCAAGCTGCATAGGACGGATCCTTCAACCAGTCAGCTTTCATCACGACTTTCCCTGGCGCCTCAGTTTTACTACGGAGTGCAACAGCCTCAGACCAGCTAACCATGCATTGTCGATCACATGGCTGTCCGTGTGAAGAATTATTAGTAAAGTACCTCTGTACCTAGGTAGTCTATGCAGCATAAATCATTCGTGTCTTTGATTCGCGTATTGCACATCTATTCTGATCAAGCTTCTCCGTTTTTCCAGTGGAAGGTATTCGAATAAATGCATACCTTCGGCTCTAAATCTGACCACGTTGATGGCCCGGGCCCCGTTGGCTTGACTATTCCTTTCTCAGGGAGCGCTCAGAAGAAGCCGTAGACTTCCAGAGGAAACCCATATGGATGCAACCTTGACGATTAAGAGAGCTCCCAGTTGCCTCGGCCCGCTCCCAACCATCGAGCATCACACCATAACTGCATTGCTGGGAACGATGAGAAGATGGGGAGATCCCAAGCGCTTTGATTACTCGTTGGGCCCTGTCCGCTCAGAAGACCAGCGGCTGATAGGTCGAGGACCCCAATTGATTCTTGCATTATGATAGATGTGAAATGTTTGATTGGTGTCCTCCCTCTATCAAATGCTATATTTCTGGAGTGTGCATAAGAATTGTATAGCCCCAAGCACAAAAGCGGCTAGGGCTGCATGCATGGAAAACACTGGCCTGTCAGCTCCAAGCGGTGACATCGAAAACCCTCAGAGATCGCTTTACGACGCGCTCGTTAGGAACTGCACCGCGATCTTTACGTTCTGACGTAGCGGATTGCACCAGGAGGTCAGTTGGATGCGCGATAAGAGAGGTACGGCCTTTGTTCAATGAAAGCCGAAGCCACACGACGATGGCGGAGGTGCTGCCACAGATCAGACTGAGAGCAGATACGCAGTCACGAGAAGCGAGCACTAAGGTGGCGACGCCCGCCATCCTGCCATTGAAAGATGCAACGAACAATACAGGCAATGGGCGCGTAATCGCACCCGAGAGCGTGGAAGGTGAGATACCATCACAGTTGGCAGGATTCGGCAATATGGCGCAGCCAACAACAACAAATATATTCGCGGAGCCGCTGACGCCGCTACTCCAGCACGACAGTTACCAAATACCAAAAGCTATCCAAGCAAGTTCATGCAAACCCTTTCTGGCAATCAGGCGCATGCTGCGAGCAAGTCTCCCGGGGCAGAGGAACGGAGAGATTCGCAAGCAATTGACCCTTTATCACACGTACGTCTCAGAGTGCCTGGGCATAGCAAGGGGATTGTGCTGATATACGGTGCAGCATATCCTCAACAGAGCGAATATGCCGAACTCATTGCCTCTGAAGATGCGCTCAGGCGCCGCTGAAGAAGATAACGGCGAAAGTGAGAATAGCGCATCCGTAGCAACAGCTCAGACCTCCTTAGAGCCATCCGCTGTACGCAACGATAGCGCGGGTCCTGGTTCAAAAGACAAGAGGTAAATGCTGAATGCCGCTGTCAGTATTGGCATTCTGATTACCACATCTGTGGCTGACTGGCACTGAACTCAAAATTCACAATGCTGACGAAAGTGCCTCATGCATTAGAAACCGGGTCTCATTCTTTAGCCGCTTCGCTCCGAAGAAGAAAGACGTCTTATCCGAGATCAACGATAATGATTCCGAAGTGGGCGACAAAAGAACCGAGGGGATGGATGCGGAAATATTCTCCCAGCCGATTGGATACATACCTCAGTTTCCATCACCGCCAAAATACATCAAGGTGCGATCACATGGCAAGAAAGAGAGGGACTTTCAGAGGCTCTTCCTCGCCCAGGAGTTGAGGGGAAGGTCGGGTGTGGAGATTGCACAGTCTGGAGGTAGGCTTGTCAAGAACGGGGCATATAAACATGGGGAAAAGGATGGCAATGCGATATGGGCGATGGAATTTTCAAAAGACGGCAAACATCTGGCAGCCGGTGGAAAGGATTACGTTGTCAGAGTCTGGGAAGTCTTGTCCACAAAAGACGAGCGACAGACGCATGAGAAAGAAGAGGAATCTGCGGCGAAGGCGGGCGACAGTGTCCGACTGAATGCGCCAGTATTCAAACCCAAGACGGTACAGGAGTATGGAGGTCACACAGCAAGCATCTTGGACCTGAGCTGGAGCAAAGTATGTTCGTGCGAAAGTTCAAGTCGGAGTGGACTGACAACCAGTAGAACAACTTTCTTCTGTCTTCCTCGATGGACAAAACAGTACGGCTTTGGCACGTTAGCAGGGCTGAATGTCTATGCTGCTTCAAGCACAGTGACTTTGTCACATCCATACAATTCCATCCGCGCGATGATCGATTCTTCCTCGCAGGGTCACTGGATTCGAAACTTCGACTGTGGAGCATACCAGACAAGAGCGTCGCATATTGGACACAAACACCGGACCTGATCACTGCCGTCGCATTTGCTCCGGATGGCAAGACCGCAATCGCAGGCTGTCTGAACGGATTGTGTCTATTCTATGAAACAGAAGGCTTGAAATACCAGACACAGATCCATGTTCGCTCAGCGCATGGTAAGAATGCCAAGGGAAGCAAAGTCACCGGTATACAAGCCATCAACTACCCACCTGAAGATTCAAACGGAGAAGTCAAGCTTCTGATTACCAGCAATGACTCTCGGGTACGCGTCTACAATCTTAGAGACAAGGGTCTCGAGCTCAAACTGAAAGGTAACGAGAACTCATGCAGTCAAATACATGCTTCGTTCAGCGATGACGCGCGGTACATAGTATGTGGTAGCGAGGATCGCAAGGTATATATATGGTCTACAGGACAGCCAGAAACCGAAAGGGACAAGCGGCCTCTGGAGACTTTTGAAGCCCATTCAGCTATTGTCACTACTGCGATCATGGCGCCTACGAAGACAAGACAGCTCCTCAGTGCATCAGGCGACCCTCTGTACGACTTATGCAACCCTCCACCCGTGACACTGATCAGTCGCACGCAATCGCAGGCATCCTCCATACCTCCTACCGAAGGCAGCCCGCAACCTGACAGTTACATTCTTCCCGCTTCGACGACACCCGACGTCACCAGAACCACTAAGCCGGAAGAATCGCCAGCTTACCTTGCTCGCTGCGCCCATCCAGACGGCAACATCCTTGTCACAGCTGACTTCATGGGTCATATCAAAGTCTTCCGCCAAGATTGCGCCTTACAAAACCGGCTGCGGAACAACGACAGCGCATTATCCAAGAAGATGCTCGGGAGAACGAGTTCGGTCGCCACGAAGAACAGCAAAAATTCCCGGCGTGACTCTCTCCAAATGGGCCATCCCTCATCCGAACGTATCCTCTCGTGGCGTCAATCGATCTCAAGCAACAATGGAAGCTTCGACAATTCCCGTCTCAGCCAACAGAGAAGTAGCTCTCCACGCAAGTCGTTGGGTGCAGGATCCCTCCAACCCAGTCGCCTTCCGAGTCAAAACACGATCGTAACAACTCCATCTCTGCCCAGCACCTCTCAACCACACAGTCCACATCGCTCCTCTGACGAATCTAAAGGTCTAGGTCTAGACATTGAGAAACTCAGCCTTAAACCCCCGAAGATGGACTCCAAATGTGCCAACGAAGCTAATCCACTGATGCTACGAGGAGAGCAAAGCTATATGTTCTGGAACTCGGCCGTCTACCAGGCGCAGGCTGCTACTGCATCCCATCTCGGCCCCAAGTACGAGCCCAGTCGCCACAACCGCAACGGCTACTCTCCAAATGCAAGCACGGCCGGGAGCAGTAATCGCTCCAGCGTTGAGAGGCATCATTCACACTTGGGCGTGCCGATAGCAAAGGCAGATACCCAGGTTAGCAGGCTGAGCAGTGAGGAGGAGAGTGGTGGGGAAAGCCCGCAGAGGGAGGAGGGAAAGGGTGTGACTTGTAGAAGATGTGGAGGGAAGAGCTTTAAAGTTACGATTGGGGGGAATCAAAGGAAGCAGATCCTGGAGTGTGGGAGTTGTGGGGAGGGTGTATAGTGGGGTTTGCAAGGCGGATGCGGTCTAGAAATGGTACTCACGGGTTGTAGCAGACCTGCTGAATGGTAAATACTGTATGAGATGTAGACATAGCTTGTACTTAGATCAACGTAGCTACCATAAGCCATCCTGAGAGGTTAAGGTAAGGTACCTTGTCAATGAAGACTGCGCTAGCCCTCCCGAGCCTTCGACTTATGCTCTCACTGGTCCGCTCGTTTACTCAGTTCATCACGCATTGACAGACGTTTGTTGGCTGTGTCGTAAATGGCGAGAATACGTAGGGCACCGAATATCATCGCCCGCCTCTTATGTTTGAGCTAGAGTTGTTGGTCAGTAGTGGTCCCCATTTCTTTGTTGCCTATTCCTCAAGCTTCGAGCCGTCGCGGGTACTCTCGTTACCTCACGTATCCTGCCGCTAAAGTATATACACGGGGCCCGTATATCCACATTAAAAACCCCCCTAAATCATCTTCGAAAAGAATCTCGCTGCCTGTTCGTTGCTCTTTCTGTATGTAATAAGCTACATTCGGAAACCCCAATCTGTGCCCGCTTCACTCCACCTGATGCCGCACCCCCCTCCCCGGCACCTTCATTTGAATGATGACTCCACTCTGGCCCCTCTCTCTCTCCCAAATCCTATTTTCCTTCGCCTGCCTCTTGACATGCTACTACACCTATCAGCGCCTCACGACCGGCGCATCCCGCCGCCGCTTCATCGCATCCAACGGCTGCAAGCCCCTCCGTAAATGGCGCCATAAAGACCCGGTGCTCGGACTCGACTTCCTCTGGGCCAGCTACAGAGCCATCGAAGAGCACCGAGCGCTCGAAATGATGAAGGGCCAGTTCGATCTCGTGGGGGTGAATACGGCACAGATAAGGATTTTGACCGACACTGTTGTGGCTACGATCGAGCCGGAGAATCTGAAGTGTCTTCTCGCGAGCGATTTTCGGAGTTATAGTTTGGGGGATGGAAGGAAGAAGTTGATGAGGCCGGTTTTCGGGGAGGGCATTTTTACGACGGATGGGAAAGAGTGGGTGCTTTTTCCCTTGGGTTAACGGTTTCTTTCCTTGATTGCTATGGTTTTTAGATCGTAAGTTATGTAGAGGGGTAATATCGTTGCTGTTATTCCGGACCTGCTCGTACAGATCTGTTTGGACTCGGAACCTCTAGTCAAAAAGGCAATGCTAATTGAGCCGGTCACAGGTGGCAGCACTCGAGAGAGATGTTGAGGCCGAATTTCGTAAGAACGCAGATTGGCGACGTCGAGATGTTTGAGAAACACGTCGAACATTTAATCCAAGCGATCCCGAGGGATGGCTCCACGGTTGGTCTGCAGGACTTGTTTTTCAAATTCAGTTTGGATGTTGCCACCGATCTTCTCTTTGGAGAAAGTACCAATACTCTAGCACCCGGCTTTGCGGATGCCGACGTTACGGAGTTCGTGGATGCGTACGGTTATTGTTTGCGAGCTCTTGATGGGACTAGCCTTACGGAAGAAGACCGTGATGGGCGTACGGGGTGGGCTTGGGGATTTCTGGGGCTGTTTCTGCCAAATCCGAAATTGAAGCAGCAGACCGGGGTCGTGCATAGTACGTTCGCTCACTTCGTTCAAGCCAGTCTTGTCCACTTTGAAGCAACACTGGATCCGCATGTCTCACTGACCCTCAACAGACTTCGTTGACAAACTTGTCGAGAACGCCATGACGAATCGAGACGCACGCAGGTCTGAATCGGAGAAGGATCCAACCTCCCGCTACGTCTTCCTCCACGAGCTCGTCTCCCAAACATCAGACAAGATCAAAATCCGCTCCGAACTCCTCAACATCCTCCTCGCCGGCCGCGACACCACCGCCTCCTTACTCTCCAACGTCTGGTTCGAGCTCTCCAAACGCCCCGACGTCTGGACCCGACTCCGGCGCGAAGTCGACTCCCTCGACGGCGAACTTCCCACTTTCGAGGACCTGAAAGACATGAAGTACCTCCGCGCCGTACTCAACGAGTCATTGCGACTGTATCCCGTCGTGCCGGAAAACGATCGCCAAGCGGAAGTCGACACGGTGTTACCGGTGGGTGGCGGGGAGGATGGGAAATCTCCCGTGTTCGTCGCGAAGGGCCAGATTGTCCACTGGAGCCTCTACACCATGCATAGACGCAAGGATCTCTACGGCGACGACGCGGAATCCTTCAAGCCTGAGCGCTGGCTCGATCAGGGCGAGAAGAAAGGCTTGAGGGTCGGGTGGGAGTATCTGCCTTTTAATGGCGGGCCGAGGATTTGCATCGGTCGTAGGTGCCCCAAGCTCCTTTCTTTCTTTCTTTCTTCCTTCCTTCCTTCCTTCCTTCCTTCCTTCCTTCCTTCCTTCCTTATTTTCTTGGATCTGGAACTTTCATTCAGATAGACAGACCGCTGAACAAACGGGCAGAACAATTCGCCCTCACAGAAGCATCCTACGTCACCGCGCGCCTCGCGCAGGACTTCCCCACAATCGAAAGCCGAGACCCTGAGCCCTGGCGCGAGAAATTCAGCCTCACGTGCACGGGGCTGGGCGGTTGCGAAGTCGCCCTGTTCCCGAAGTGAGCGAGCGGGCATGTCGAGGACAGACGGGGATCCTGGTGACTGCGTACATATGCAATGTACGTCTGTAAGTTTTGCATGTAATGTACCGTATGTAAGTTGGGGTGTCCGGCCATGTACGAACGCGGCGCTGGTGTACGAGATAGGAAGGGAGTGGCACAGGTACTGCCTATGTACATACATACATACATACATACATACTCTAATCCGCGCAGATCTACTCTAGCCCGCGGATGGCCATCTGGTCTCATTCATTCATCGCTAGAAAGGCAGTCGAGGTACCCGTATGAGGGAGATGTGCGCTGTCACCCTAACCACCTTCATCCCATCCCATCCCATCCCAACCCATCCTAACTCAACTCACCCAATCAACTCAACTCACCCAATCAACTGCACCAACCGATCACATTCATATACATCCCACATCCTTTTAAACCTTTACATCATCCATCCACCTTTACACCATCCTTCCACCTTTACACCATCCTTCCACCTTTACACCATCCTTCCACCTTTACACCACCCTTCCACCTTTACACCATCCTTCCACCTTTACACTATCCTTTCACCTTTACACCATCCTTTCACCTTTACACCATCCTTCCACCTTTATACAATATCCTTACCCACCTTTACCTACCTACCCTTCCACCTTTACACCATCCTTTCACCTTTACCCATCTAGACCTACCTACACCCATCAACCACCCACCACCCACCCACCACCCACCGTACCACACCCTGCACCCCAGCCCAAACTAGCGGACGTCGCAAAAGTTCGCGCAGGGGTCCATCCCGGTCTGCATGTCTGATCCGTCTCCTAGCCGCATTACCGTCATGTTAGAAAGAGGGAGGGAGGGAGGGAGGGAGAGTTTGTTCCGGCTTATGAGTGAGTTGTGTTGAGTTTGAGTTGAGTTGAGTTTGAGTGGAGTTTGAGTTGAGTTTGAGTTGAGGGATTTATGGGTATGGGGACGCTAGGGCGTGGAGGTGGGATTGGAAGGGCTAGGGGGGGTTGGGGGATGGTTTTGGTTTTGGTTTGATAGGTGGGTAGGTAGGTAGGTAGGTAGGTAGGTAGGTAGGTAGGTAGGTAGGTAGGTAGGTAGGTGGGTGGATGGATGGATGGATGGATGAAAGAAAGAGCTGGATGATGGGAGATAGGTGGGGATTTTGGGTCTGGTTCGTTGAGGTGGGTGGGTCGGTGGGGTTGTTGTGTTGTTTGGGTGTATGATGTGACAGGGGGGAGAGAAAGGGGAAGAGGGGGAGGCGGGTTTGTTGTGACATGAGAAGGAGTAAATGGTTGGTCAGATGTGTCTATGGGTCTGATATCCGGGAAAAAAGAAAGAGAGAGAGAGAAACTGGTTGGTTGTTATAAGATGTCATTGAAAAGATTTCTATGTATTCTAGAGAGTCTCGGAAAAGTCTCTATACAAGATACATGAACCACGTCAACTTAGCAAAACTCACCCTCCACCATAAAGCCTCCGTTCTCCAATACCCATATGGACTATTTCAGCAAATCACAATAACCGCTCAAAATTTGTTGCATGGAGAACCCCACCTGGCCCCACCACATCAAACGCCCCTCAAAGTCGGTCGTGCTTGACGCCCGCCACCACCTTCTCCTCCTCGCTACCATTGCCATACTCGTTGGCATCCAGACTCAGCTCCTTAGGCACCAAACTGCCCTGTCGGCCCCCCTTGAACCCCGCCTCGGGATCCACGACGCTATTCCCCCGCTGCGTGGCTTGCACCAGTTCAGGGTTCTGTTCTTTGAGGATCTTGAAGTTGCGCTCGGCTTCCCAGTTCCAGATGGAGTCGGAGGCGAAGACGAGGTCCATTTCCTCGAGGGTGCGTTGGTTGGTTTCGGGATAGAGGGCCCAGACGACGACGATGGTGACGACGTTGACGGCGCCGAAGAGGTAGAGGGTCTTTTCCTCCAGCTTGGCGAAAATGGTGGGGAGGAGGAGCACCTGATCGTTCGTTAGACACTTGTTGACGATATGTGAATGTAGGAAAGGTTCATTGGGGTTATCATACCGTCCACCCATTGCCGATGGACCAACCAACCACACCCCACGCGTTGCCTCGGGCTCGGACTTCCAATGGGAAGATCTCAGCCGGGTATAGCCACGGTACGGTCAACCATGTCGCTCCGAAAATCGCAGTGAACAGGAACACGAAGAAGATGGCGCCGCCACCCACGCCGGAGGTGCTTCCGCCGCTGTTTTTGGCGTTGATCGTAGCGCGGGCGAGACCACCAGCGCAGAACATACAGATCCCCTGGCCGACTGAGCCCCAGTAGAGAGTCCAGCGACGACCGATTCGATCCAGAGTGAAGACACAGATGAGGGTGGCGAACATGTATGTGATATCGTTGAGACCGGATATCCAGAGACGGTTTTGTGGCGAGACACCGGCGATTGTGAAGATGGTGGGCCCGTAGATTGTGATACCGGCGATGCCGATCCATTCTTGGAGGATTTGGAGCCAGATGACGAGTTGAACGCGGCGACCGGTGTGGAGCTTGCCGGACTTCCAGCCGAAGAACATGGCCAGGTAGCTACTCTGGCTCGAGGTCTTGCGCTCCAGCTCGACGATGTTGCGGATGTCTTGGAATTCAGCTTCGGCCGCACCGTCACCTTCGCCGCGGAGACGACCGAGTATGAATCGGGCTTCTTCCTCGCGCCCGACTTTAACAAGCCAGCGAGGGGATTCGGGCATAGCCCATACAACGAAAAAGAGGAAGATGAGGGGCACGATTTGGAAAGCGATCGGAAAGCGCCAGATGAAGGAGGAATTGACCTGCCCGTAGAAGGAGGTGCCGTATTCGATCCAGTAAGCGACGACGACGCCGAAAATGTTGAGGGTGAACTCGATAGAGACGAATTGGCCGCGGGATGTGTGGCTGGCAGTTTCGGTGGCCCAGACGGGGGTGATGGCGTTCAGGATGCCTGTTCCGATACCGTTCAGGGTACGGGCGCAGAACATCCATTTGGCGTTTTGGGCGGAGCATTGAAGAGTGGCGCCGACGACAGCCCACAGGGCGGCTACGGCGATGGTCTTGATACGACCGTATCGATCGCCAAACCATCCGCCGAGGAAGGCGCCAAACAAGGTGCCGGGCAGGTAGTACACTGCGATCTGGAATCACACATGTCAGACAATTGACACAAGCCCAAAGAGTAGGTGGTGTTTTGGGATTACTTACGATACCTCCTTGAAGAAGTGGGTGCTGAATTGTGACTAGCCCTTGTTGTTCATCAAACATGCCAAAGCCCATGGTGGAGGCATAATTGCGGTTGCCGTTGACACCGCCCATGACACCTTGATCATAGCCGAAGAAGAAGATGGAGAGCCCAGCTACGCAGTTGATGAGGATGAGGAGAGCCCGCTTTTCGTACTTGCGGGCTACATTGTAGCTCGCGATGTTATCCATGGTTACTTCGCTGGCCCGTGGGGCTCGATATCGAGTCGAGTGGGTCAGATAGAACACGGGGGGGTTGGATGTTGGGTTAAGGGAAGGAGGGAGGTTAGAAAGAGTGCGAGGAGAAAGCAAAAAGGTGAAGCAAGGGAGAGGAAGAGAAAGAAGATGGGAGATCTGGGGTAATGGGGTTGGATTTATAGATACAAAGGAACAAGGATGGGTGAAGCAAGGGATGCCGGACCATCCGTTAGCCGCCAGCTTCACATGCAGGCCCGCCGTTTTGATTAGCTACTAGTGTGACACATATGAGCAGATCATAGATGGCCGAAGATGAAGTGTGAGCGAGGCCAATCAATGATGGCGACTTGGCGGGGTTAAGTCAACACCTCGCCCGCACCGTATGGCTTTTTTGGTGTGTTGATTGAAGCGCAAGAAGGATTAGGAGAAATGGGCAAATGATGCGTGATGAGAAAGAGAGCAGATAGGGAGGAGTTAGTTGAATAGCTACATTATAGTTTGCAGATACCAATTTCAAATTCAAAAGTCGAGCGAAGGAGCGACGGTACAAATTGTGTGGAGCGCAAGCAGAGGAAAGAAAGAAAAAGCTGAGACCAGCATGTTGATCCTGCTTTTTTCCCTTTTCCAAACTACCCCTCCCCGGCAGCTAAGTTTATGTTGCCTTTTGACCCCAGAAATCCCCTATTGTCCTAAGTTTGGAGTCATGCGTTTTAAAGTACAACTTAAATCTCATAGGCTCATTCGCATGAAGAGAGATCGCTTGGATGAATAATAGCGCGATGAAAATAAAGTAAGTACTAAGTATCGAGTAATAGCGAATAATCACGAACAAGGTTGAGATATAAGCGCAGTCGATTGACAGGTTGATCGCAATTGCTGGGCCGCCCCTCCTCTCGCATTGATCGTCATTTCGTCATACCTTCAACCTGGAAAGTGGGGTCCCGGGTCCAAGGCCCACGCGATCAGAAGGCTGATCCACGCCGATCCAGCCTGATCCCTGTATGTGTGACGCAGAGAAGACCGCTAGAAGGTCACCAGAAGGAAACTAGAAGGACGCTAGAAGGTCAGTGGAAGCAAAAAGTGGGCATGACCGCTGATCTCCAATCCCGATGACCAACCCACCAAATCTCTGGGATGACAACTCCGACCATCACCGACCATCGAGTATCTACTTTACAGCCCCAAATTGCTGTCATGCCCACACACAACTCTGGAAGCGCTCGACGGTCCGTTGAGAGCGCCTGTTGTCCGGCTGCGGCAGGCTTCGAGTGACGACATTATGCCCGACGGCGACGTGGCATGTCTTGCGCTTCAATAATCACCCATTTTGGTGTCAATGTGGGTAACAGACTGACAGCTGATTTCCTAGGTATGTTTTCCCCGCAGTCAGCAGTCAGCAACGAAGGCAAACCCTCGCCAATTGATAACTGCGTAATGATTCATGCGGCTCGTCTATTGTTGTAGACTCTCCAAGCACCGTCGCTAATCTTCAAAATGACAACTCACGCCTAAATTTACACAAGTTGGGTACCTCCTCACCCTCCGACTTCGACATGTGCTGCAGCTTGATGCAACGTTCGCATTAGAAGTCTGGCCGCCGATGCTTCCACCCTCGAGCCAATAAGACTGGACGCTGGCTCCGTAGGTAGCATTGACCAGTGTGGGGCTGGTATTTCTCAAATCAGCATGTAGCAGATCATCCCACCATGTCACGAGTGGAAGTCTTGGCGCCGACTGCTCATAGGCCCACATCTTCTCCATACCTTCAAGCCTATCCCGAAGCCCGAAGCTCCTCTCCGAGCCACGAGTTTTGTCGTTCCCTCTCAAAAACTGCGTGGTACTCGCTGAGACCAATTTTGACGGCTTCGCCGAGTTTTTCAATAGTGAAACGCATCATTGGCGTCGGGCTTCGAGGAGTCGAGCTGTCCCTCTTCTTGCTCTTCGAATTCCATGGTCCAGACAATGGCAGTCAGGAAGGTGAAGCTTTCTGCTGGGTGGGGTCAAGCGTTAGCCGAAAGAATTTTTCCTGCTACCTCATTGCCTCGTCCGCCTGATTTATTCTTTCTGGACGAACTGTGGACGCGCAGAAGAAGGGCGGGTGGCATGTTCAGGGTTGCCGTCGTTAGTTACTCCGAGTTGATAGGAATGTATCAAGGGCGGACCATCGTATTCATAAAATATGGCGGCCTCTTGTGCTTGTCACGAGTATTACTGATGATACTCCTGGTGACCACCCCCGGGACTTTGTGATACTTAGGCGCAATCCCGCTGTAAATAACGTTCAAAACGCAAGTAGCCGTTACACGCTCGAACCATTCTCTCCGTCATCCAGGGCGCAACAGCCAAAGAGATTGATTTCAAAATGGCCGAAAGGAAATACCTTCAAGAGATCATAGAAGGGAATATATATCAATTCAAAACGACTTATCATGGAGTTATTGGCTTGGGACTCTGGTTTTGGATTCGAGGACATCACAGGATGGCTGGTGAACGAATGCATGCTACATGTATCGGACCCACAGACTTGAGTAACAATCCACACCCAAGCTCGATGGCTCAAAACGTCCACAGATCATGACCTGCAGTAAAGCTCAAGCATACATTCCCCAGATCCAAAGAAATAGAAAATTCCGAAAATGCGCGTCTCAGCCAGTTCGACAGTGATCCGACTTGCTTGCAGTCCATGATCGCACAATGACTGCCCGAGACCCAGTACCCCCAAAAAAGCGTCACCGAGGCCTACGCTATGGCCTCGTCGTGACGAATAGCATACACGCGGCATAATTCACGGTCACACAAGCAAAGGAATCTACAGAGCAACACGCTCGCAGCAGACACATAACGCTTCTCCGTCTCCAGCACGACTAGCGGAAAAGAGACAAGATACCGTGGGTATCTACTCCTTTTCCAACGCACACCGCATCGCTTCCCCCAGCTGCATGCCAACCTCATGGCATGAACATGGCAGGTAGGTCGTGGAGCGGGTTAGGCGTGGGAAAATTGCCACCTGGTTCGCTTTGCTATGACTACGTTCGTTCATTCGACACGGATCTCTTATGCGCAGCCTAGATCACGGGCGCGAGCTCGTAGTGATTTGCCGACAGTGCTCTCGATGTTGGATACCCATAGATAGCACGCGTTCCATCTATAGGGCCTGGATACAGATAGTCTCCATATTGGTGACATCGCTGTGCACCATCGCCTGCCCGAAGCGCCCCGCGGCTACCTGTTCGAGGTGTGTCGTATGCACGGACAAGTGGCAGGGACAAGTGGCAATATCATATGACCATTAGTGGTGTGTCAATGTACAAGCGGCCTTTTGCCACAGACACGTCTTACTGTTTCTAACAAACTGAATCCTCAATCGGTTAAACCAAGAACAATACCCTTGTAGCGAGCGATTCATGCCTCCCTTCACATACAGACACTCATGCACTTCGCCTTCCTGCATTCGACACAGATTCGAAAGTGTGAAACGGGCTAGTACAACCCATTGTCCCTTTTCCCCAAAAGGGGCGGGACCGCCAGCTCATCGCAGTCAACGGCGGCGCGGGATACGTACGGGCGGCATTCACACCCGTCCTGTCTCGAGACCCGCCCTTTCTAAGAAACGAAGCAGTTGACGGAGATGTTCAAAGGGTCTGTCCTCAGGAGACACGCTGTCGCTTCCGTCATGACCAGACTCTCGCCACGGGGGCTCAGCATCGACGACCTTCGCCGCCGCGTCAGCAATGTCAGATACGCTCGCACTCACACACGAGATCGCCGATGCCTCGGATTCCTTGGACATGTGTCCGGCTGCTGCTCTTGAGACAGTTGAACGACCCTCCAATCCCCGGGCGGGAGGGGGGGGGGGCGTTTCTTTTCAAACAGCGTAGAGAAGAATATCCACAATCCCCTTCGATCTCTATCTTAGACTCTCCCCTCCCATCACCATCCTCCAGTCACCCGGGTTTCTTCCGTACTAGTACTGGTCTAGCGAAATCCGGCTCCGCGCGCCGGCGCGCCATCTCAAACCCCCTGGACGTGTGAATCCGGTGTGCAACCCTGCCGGTACGGTGCGAAAGTTCTTCCCGGTCGAACAACGGACGGAGTGTCATCATAACACAACCGGGGCCCTGGAGATTTTCTCCGCGGAGTATGTGCGGACGGAGTTGACATTCGGTACCCGAGCGGATGGATGGATCGGTAGGGGGCGTTTTTTGGGCGGGATGGGATTTTGTGGGAGCGGTGAGGATCGTGCGGACGTGTTGAGGAATTGGGGGATGCGAAGAGATCCGCTTCGCTGGTTCTTGCGTGTGACTCGTCGGGATTTCGGGTAGGGTAGGATTGGGTGGTGTGTAGATTGCATGAATGGTTCTATCTTGGGACTCCCCCGGGATCAGGTCTTATAACCCCATACGACTCAGGTGGGTGATCCGACACGTCGCTGGTGTCAATAGAAGATTCTTAGCCTCCTCCTAGCCACCTATTGGAAAAAAAACCACCTTATCTGTATAGAGTGTGGACATTGGCCTAGAGGAGTCCTGAGATAGAATAATCGATAATTATATAATAATAAAATAAAATTAAAAAAATAAAATAACAAATAAAAAAAACATTAAAAATTTTTAAAAACAAATATACTAAAATTATAAAAAATCCATTTTTATAATACGATAGAATAATCGATGCGATCTGCAGATCACGTACTTGAATTCTGACAGCTGGGAGGAGGCCGGGAACCTGATTCGACACTGGTTTCTTATTCTCTGTCCTGCCGTGATGTTGTTGTGGACTCTTGGCTACGCTGCTGATAAATTAGGGTGGCGGTGCGCGAGCGTTAGAACAAACAGGGTTCAAGCTGGAGAAATGTACTCGAAAGAGGATTCGCCTTTCTGCAATTTCAGATACCGGGTAGTACAATTCCCCCCTGGCCATCCAGCTCTCTCGGAAGGTGCGTATCGGGAAGTTCCTTCAAAGATCGATCAATGGGCGCTGCGGCAAATCGACTGCTGTTGTTCAAACCGGTCCGCTGTGTCGGTATTCGGGCCTTGCTTCTGCGTTGCCGCACCGCTTCTTTCCAGAACCAGAAGCCGAGGAATCCGATGGCAGTTGTTCCGAGCGGGACACCGATCCCGACTCCTACTGCGGTCGGCAGGCTGGTCGACTGCTCCTGGGTTTGAGCAGGCGCAGGAGGGCCCGTGGACGTGTTGGCTAGGGAGGACGCCTGGACCGTAGTCATTGTCGATATGGGTCCAGTGGGGAAGGTAGTGGTCACGGGAATCGCCGGGGTTTTTTTTGGTGGGAGCTGATGGCGACGGTGTGACAGGTGGAGATCCTAAGGTAGAGCCCTTCGTATCATTAACGAAAGTTGTGTCGATGCTTGTCTGACAGGCCGTATTCTTAGTCTCATCGCCACACCACTAGTTGAATGGACCGTTCACTGCTGGACAATTCCAAAGATTGGACGCTGTATCTCTTTGCACTGACATGGAAAGACTTAGCGGCTACTACGGGTTGAGGAGCAGATGTAAGCGGTTAGAGGAAAGATCCAAGATCAAACCCGGAAAGAGTTCTCACCGTCGTTGCATCCTTGATTTGGACATGCCGTCGTATTACTCCAGTCTTTGACAGTGCATGCGCCTCGATACGTCTGTTTCCGGGAATCAGTGTTTGGATCGCATAAGGGACAGTGTGAGTGACAGTCCCAGGTAGGAAGGAGGGTGCGATGGGGCGTACCGAACCTATCTCTGATCCATAACATAGACCGTTCGACAGACAAACCTCTCCATTCAAGCAGCAGGCACTGTCTCGGGACGCATAGCAGTTCACGTAATGTCCTTGACCGGGCGCTATGCCGGAGCCATCGGGCCAGTAGCACGGCTGCTGAGCCAGCAGTAAGGGCCAATGGGACACGAAGAGCGCAAGAATCATCTTGTGGAAATGCATCGATGGTTACAAGATTTCTAGAAGTTGAGAAATTGAGGTTCAAGAGGACCGGAGGAGTTGTGGAGTCACTGTTTGACTTTATACCAGGCAGATGTTATGAGGGGTCAAGCAAAGAAGGACACGAGACGAGAAAAACAAAACGCGCTCTCGTGGAACGTGGTCTCATGAGGAAGTTACGAAGGATTGATGGGACATGAGGCAGTGCATTCTTCGTTTCAACCTTCTTCCCTTGCGGCGTTACGATTACCCACATTGGCTGCGCTGTCGATCTGCGGCCCCGTATCTCCTTTTGCTTGCAGATTATCGACTTGAAGAATCCTCTGAATCCCATGCGGTGGTTTGATCGGAGCGCCCTCCGACATTTGGTATCGAAGCAATGACCTTTCGATTCTTCTTGGTGTTCGTCGACGCTAGCACCTCTGGTAGCAAGACGCTCTGTCAGACAGTTTCGGGGCACATACTATCGTTATATGCAACGATGACGGAGGAGCCTGACATTTTATCACGAAGAGCTGCAGAAGCAAGTATTTTGCGAGCCACAGGCCTTACCCACAAACCTCTGCAGCAGCTGGCCGAGCGCTGCAAGAAATTTTGTGTTGAGCGGTCGGCATCTTCAAAACATTGGATCCAAGCATGCACAACAACGTTCAATTTTTCCAAACGTGGTCAATGCGCACGTGCACCGCCTCCTATCATCACTTTGATATCGAGGTTCTCCGGCATGTCGCTGGTACCAAATTCGGTGAATTCGACGCTAAAGCGAGAGTATGAAGACACCCTCTCCCGGGTCAGGATCACATGAGATTTCAAAAGGAGCTGCCTTTGCATTCAAGTATTGGTCACGACCTGCACAATGGCAACGGGACACGCCGGATCCCCTACCGCAAAATCTGTCCCAGTACTCGAACTTCTCGACTTTCCCGTCGCCTCATCGCAGCAAACACTCGCATTCGGCAATTGTACTGTCATAGCAAGATTCTCTGACGGGTCTTCGAACACGATTCCATTGCCTGAGAGGCAACAGGCTGGGGAAACGTAAGTGCAATTTTGCATGGAGGCAGATGCAGCCATTGGCGTAATCGTAGTCATCGGGTTCAGTACAGCGTTCATTGCACTGTTGTCTGGCGGGAGGTTGAGGGTCAGCAGATGTGCCTTGTCCCGCATCGCCCCGGCCTTCAGCATTCCAGTCGCCTCCTCCGGTTATTGGATTCTTGGTAGGTGGTTCCGATTCGTCCCCGGCGTTCTCGCATACAGCGTTACCTTCGGCGTCGGTCGCACATGCCATTTGTATTCCGAGCATTCTTCAGAACTTGGACTCATTATGATAAACGTGTGCAACCAACGGAGCCTTTTCACCATTACTACGACATTCTGAGTCGACATTAGCGGTTCATAAATGGGCATGTATTAGGAACGTACTCGTTTCGTGCCATCCTCCAATCCCTTGCGTCTTGACGCAGAGTTCTACCATACCATTTGCATTTCCCTGCAACACCGACCAGTATTCCGAATGGAATAAATGCCTAGTGTATATCGTTCGTGCTACAGCAATGGAGCAAGATCCTTGCTGTTGAGTTAGTATACAGACTCAAAGTTAGGAGAATTCTGACAGTAGAGAAGTAGAATACCATTTGTTTTCACTACGGGAAGTTGATATATTCCCTCTTGCCCAAGCGGGTCTTCTCCATACAGCGCTATGTAACTTGCCCTTTCGCCGATGGCCAGAAAAGCGGCAGTGCTAGACTCATCTTCATCGTCTTCGAGAATGTCAAATTCATCTAGGGCTCTAAGGCAGTCTTGATACGCGGGCTCGCCACTTCCAGGCCTCGAAGTCAGCTTTTTTCCTCCTCCATTGATACGAGATCTGAAGCTTGATGGAAGGCTCTACCTTCGCATTCGTGTCTCACGGCTCTGCTCGAGGTACTCTAATGGACGGGAATAAGTTATCGGAAAGGGCAGACTCACAGCCAAAATTCGTCACACCAATACCTATGCTCGTAATCCGGAGTGTAATCTTCCTGGGTAAGGAATGTCGGAGCGGTGCATTGAGGAGCGGAAGGTTGAACGCTGACGGGCCCCACGACACCCTGCCCCCCATCCGCAACAAAAGCCGGCCTCTCCGGCGTTGTCCGATCAGGATCGTCTGGTCCCAGCTCTACACAGTGGCGAGAATACTGACACTGTGACCGGAGGTAAGCAGAAGAGGGCGGCCCTCGGATCATTAGTGAAGGGAGTAGTCTGAACACAAGTTGACCATCTGGGAGACATTCGTATCCCAAGCCGTAGGGGTAAAAGGTACAGAGGTCACCCAGTGAAGGAAATCTCGAAAGAAAAGGAGAGACTGCACCGCCTGGGTTCATGCTTGTTGGTATTCCTTGATGACTGCTCTCGACTACCTGGAATCTATTCAGCATGATCATTGGGTACAATCTAATTGGGAAATTTCACCATCATTGCATATGTGCAGCTAAAGCGTAAGCAAAACACAAGAACGAGCGCAGACACCCTCGCCATCATTGGTGTCGAAGTTCGAGACCACATGCTCCAAGCGCCTAGATCCATGTGTTTCTATAATCAAGGTGAGGTTGCTTAATCCTACCTCGCCCGACCATGGCTGCATACTCAGTCGGGACATGGTCAATATGAAGATAAAAACTAAATTATATATGTATTGCTTTAAATCTAATAAAAAAAATAAATAAAATATCAAGCTTATAGAAATAACTTCTAAAACCATATATTTTATTTAAATTAAAACATATAAAAAATAATAATAACTTCTAACTTTATTAAGAGTACTTTCTTTTATAGATAAAAAGATATATATATAATTCTTTTATATATTAAATATATATTAAATAATAAACTATAACTTATTTAAAGTTTAAAAAATTTAAAAGTTTTAAAATTTATTTATTTTAAAGAAAAGTATAAATAAAAAAAAATTAAAAAAAAAATCTAATATAGCACTTAATTAAACTACTATTATTATTTATTTAAATAATTATATTATATTTATTATAATATAACTATAAATAAAAAACTATCTATAACTTAATATAATAAATATCACTAAATAATATAATTATTTATTTTAGCGATATAATAAGAATATTAATATTTTATAACAATAAATAAAAATAAAATTTAAATAGAAATTTAAAAATATTATTATATCGAATTAGATATTTTTAAAAATATAAAAATAATCTAATAAAAAAAATATTATTAAAATTACTATTATTCCTTTATTAAAATCTCTATATAGTTTTTATGTTTTTAAAAAAAAAAAAAAATAATAAAAAAAAAAAGATTTTCAAGTTAAAGATCGATAAAGAAATAAAATTAGATCTTTAATAAAAAAAAAAAAATTTATATTTATTATATAAAGTTATTATAGAAATTAATAAAAGTAAATATTTAATATTAAACGGACTTATGATTTAAGATTCCGCATTTCCTATATTATGCGTTCCCAAAAACTATATATTATGCACCCTAGCCATTGATAGACTCCGGCCGGCTCTAGCGGCGTGTCATTGACAAGGACGAACTCAGCTTTAAAACCCTGGAGGAGCTGGAGGAAGTGGTGTACTGAAAATCGAGATTCATGTCTGAAAGAAAATGTGAGAGCGACAGCAAAAAAGACCGGGCGTGCAAAAGACAAGGTCTCAAATAATCAACGATGCGCTCTCGCAGAAGGTGCAAAAGCATCTGTGTGAGTGGTCAAGCGGTTCCGGTACGCGAAAGCCTGCAAATCAGTCGAATGCGCTGGAGCGACAAAGCGCAAATATGCCGAGCAGAAGTCTGCTGCACTGTAGAAAAATCTAAGCCCGAATCTTGTTCTGCTGCTTTTCATTGGGGAATGTTGGCTTTGATGATCCCACTACACCTCGCGTTGATATGTACCTCCACCGTCTTGTCTCTGCTCGTACGCCCTTGCGAACCAATACAATCACTGAGAACAAAGCCAAATTCTGTGCCTGCATTGTCAAATAATAACTCTACCCATGGGGGGTCAGCGACTCCCTTCTCTCTTTGCCCACATGTGAAGTGCTCGACCGAGGGTACAACGAGTCCTTGTTAAAGCTGAACTTGTCCGTGGACCCAATCTTCAACTGCAATGAGGGATGGGGACGCCTCTGAATCTGCAGGTGTGCGAGGAAGCACTTACGTGTTCCTTGGGTGACTGGGCCTGAGACAAAGTTTTTAAATTTTGGACCACGTGAGGCGGATGTTCACCATATTGGGTTGCCGAGACGATTCATGAGCTGTGAGCCCTTCTCTTTTCGATGTAGACACGCCGGCTCTGATGTTCGAACCCGCTGATGGGATTTGCGTTGTCGAACCTTATCGTGCCTGGGAAGGCTTCCGCAATTACTAATTCATACCCCAAAAGTATGGATCCTTACCGAATCATACCCCTAATTACTGAATCATACCCCTACACCAAATTTCACCCAAATATAGGGTATGATTCGGTAATTTGCCATTGCTTGGGGTATGATTTGAAAAATAATAGCTTTCTGATATGAGAGGGTCTAATGAAGGTAATGGTAGCGGTAGGCTTATCGTCGACTTGATTATTGATAACGGTGGTATTTACGCTACGGAACGGGGCGGGTTTCGGGGCGGGGGTGACCCCCGAAGCTTACCCCGCCCCGCCCCGCTGCGTAGCGTAGTGGTATTGTTAGGAATTATTCCTTCGGGGCTGGGGCCCAGCCCGCGGGCCTACGGGACCCAAAGGGGTGTCTGCAGCGTGAAGTGCGGACACCCCCGGGCACAGTTTTCTAGCCTAGCGGTAACTCGGGTTAGTCGAAATTTCGCCCACTCGGCTTTCGTCTGATGTTTTTAGGCTGATAGAATTCTCATCAAATGCGGTCGGAGAAACTCCCTTATTTCTATGATCGAATAAGCCAGATCGCGGATTATCTCCTTCGTAGTTTGAGGCCACTTTGATAACTTACCAAATCATACCCCAAGCAATAACAAATTACCGAATCATACCCCATATTTGGGTGTGATTTGGTCTAGGGGTATGATTCGGTAATTAGGGGTATGATTCGGTAAGGATTTTTTTTTTGGGGGTTTGTTTGGTAATTTGCCCGATTTGCATTGTCGAACCATATACCTTGTGCCTGGGAAGGCTTCCGCTCATGTAACGCCGATCAATGCGTACTTCGCCACCGCTACCCTTACTCAGAGTCATCATCAATGATTTCAACAGCCCTTATAGCTATTATTTAAATAGTATTTAAAATACTATTATAGTTACTTTCAATTATTCCTACGCGATATATTTATCGTACTCGTTTTTCTTTTTATAGTATATTATATCGAAGAATAATAAGTCGAAATAGCTAAAGGCTCTCGAGAACTATAAGACTCTTCTTATTAATTAATAGCTTCTACTTATAAAGAATATATCTAAGATTATTCTTAAGTATCTTAAGAGTAGTCTTAACGATATTAAACGCGAGTATATATCCTATATAGTCGCCGAAGTCTTACTTTATATAGTATCTTTAGTAATTATAAAAATAATCGATTAATTAAATAATAAAGAATTTCTTAACGCTATACTACGTCTAGAATAGTTTATTAAGCGTATCGAAGGCGATGTAATAACTATAAAGAATTCTATAGAAATAGTTATTATTAAAATTTAAAAATTTATAAAAGCGTAGATGAAAGGCCTTCTAGTCGCCTTCTTATCGCTATTATAAAGTATAATAATATTATATTTTATATAGCTAGCACCACCCCTAGACTTAGAGAATAAGAAAAATTATTAGATTATTATTAAAGTAAAGAACGATAACGCTATTAAAAGGTTTTATATTAATACTCTAAAGTAGCTATAGAACTATATCGAAATTCGCTTTAAGAAATATTTAACGCTTAAAGTTATAGAGGTCGAAGTAGCTAAATAATTTAAATTTAAGAACTTTTAACTTCTAATAAAAACTCGAAGAGGTGTTGAAACTCTAAGAAATGCTAAGAAAGCTAAGGAATGAGTAGCGTATTTCGGGAAAGACGCGTTTATTTTAATTTTTATATTTAATATAATAATCTATAATATCTCTATTAAAATCTATTAATTCTCGAGAGATATTAAGAGTCTTATTAAAATCATTATCGATATTAATATATATAGAATTCTCGAAGCGAAAATTCGATATCTAGGCTAACTAAATAAAAATAAAATTAGAAATTTATCGATTAAAGCCTCGGCGATAGTCGCCGAGTTTATTAATCTATATTACGCGAATGTCGTCTAAGTAAACAACTTAAGCTAAATATTATTAAGAGGAAATAAATATTATAATTATATTAATTATATATAAGAGAGTAGAGTTATTAGATACTTTCGCTATTAGAAATCTAATTATATTATATCTTTATATAAAGTTAAAGAATCTATCTATATATACTATATATAAAATTACGATTCCCGCGTATATGCGGAGCTCTAAAAATAAGGTTTTAAATTTAGATATATTAATTATTAAGGCTAATATATAGTATTTAACTTCGAATATAAAAGAATAAAAAGTATTATTATAAAAGTGATTGAGAAAAGAATAAAGCTTTAAGTTTAAGCTTTCTATTTCGAGGGTAATATTAATTAATTATAAATTAAAGACGCTTAATTATAGAATCTAGATATTAATATAATTATATCTCGAGATATAGAATTAATTATATTTAAATCTAGAAAGACTAAAAAGTTTTATATTAAAAAACTCGCGAAAGAATTAGATATAATAGAATTAATCGTAAAGGAACCTAATAAGAAGATTATAATTATAAATATCGAAGATATCTTAGTTAAGAAGCTTAAAGGCCTCTTCTAATTAATATTAATATCTTAAATTAATATTTAAAATATAAGTATTATAGCGATAGCGGATATAAATATCTTTCCGCCTACTTTCGCGACTCTATAAAGCTCTAAAGAACACTTATAAAAGATAGTGAATACGGGGAAAAAGAGGAGAATAGACGCGAAAAGCCTTCTCTCGTTATTATATAAAGATCGCTATCGTAAGTAAAAGCTAAATAATAAGATATTATTTCGAATATCGCTAATAATCTAAATGAGAGCCTTCAATCAGATAAATATAAGAGGTATTACTCTCTTTCGAGATTAGGCTCTCTTTATTATAAAAGTTTTATAATCTCTTCGAGAATATAGATAAAAAGAATTAGTTACCTATTATAACGATAAAGTTTATAAGTAAGAGAATTAATAAGCTATTAAACTCTTTATTCTATAATAGATAGAAGAATATAAAGAAGATCTCGGCGTAAAGAAAGGCTAAAAAAAACTATATAGTATCTCTTAGAGGATTTAAAT